TTATGGTTCTTCTACAGAGAACAACACATCCTGTCCGTTTCTCTCATCCTCCACCCACCCAAAAAAAGCACTTACAGCAGCGGTTCTCAACCTCCCTAATGCCGCGACCCTTTCATACAGCTCCTCATGACCCCCAGCCATAAAATTACTTTCGTTGCTACTTCATAACTGTAATTTTGTTACTGTTTGAGTCATAATGTAAATATCTGATATGCAGGATGTTTTAGGCGACCCCAAAGGGGTTGAGCACTGCTGGCGTATAGTGTGATTATAAAGGCTCGCTGGTGGGAATGACACGGGTGGGACCCCCAAGACGGCGCCCTTACCCTCAGGTCTGGAACTGAACTCACCCCGAGTTAGAACCATCAACCACATAGGGTGGAAAGGGCAGCATTCCCCCAAGGTCAAAGTTCAGAGGGCTGGGAGGGCAGGGGGTGGAGACAGGTAACTGGGTGGAAGGGGGATGAGCGCCAGTGTATTGAGGGGTCTCCCGCCTGCACTGCACCAGAAGGCGCATAAGCTGTTGGTGTGAAGCGGTGATTGTCTCTAAACCGGCTCCTCACTCACAATAAAACGTTTTCCAAAAAAGAATGACTGTAAGAGGCTTTGAATCAAAAGTTGAGAGAAAGAAAGAAAAAAAAAAAGCTGCGTGTGTAAAACAACACAAGAAGAATGTGGCCCGAGTTCTGCTCCTGACCCCACCGACACTGGTGTACCGGCTGTGTGACAGGCAGACAGCACTCTGGGCCTGTGGTACCCAGGTGTACACACGCACCCCCACACCCAGACACACATTTTATTCAAACAGAAACGAAAACTCCAAGCCCATCCATACACCATACCGGGTGGGCCCAGCCAGGAGTGCAGGCACCAGGAGCAACAGTACGGACGGACGCACGGCGCCCTCAGTGGGCATGGAGAGAACTGCCACTGGAGGGCTCTGCTGCTGGGACCCGCTCTGCTGGTGGAGGCAGGCTCACCCCAAGGGCTTGGTGGGCCCTGAGCTTGCGCTGAGGCGGCTCTACCTCTGCAGGCATCAACCCTTCACACAAAGAATCACAAGAACACCAACTGCGACTTCCCCCAGCCCAGGCCCTGTGGCAGTGTATTCCAGAACGGCCAGGGTTGTCAGCAGGGTCGCCGGATCCAGCCGGGATGTGGAAGCAGAGATGGGGCGGGAGGCTCACAGGGAACTCCCTCAGGTGTCCAGGCTGGTTGATTCCGGCAGCACTCGGATTCCAGACGGACTCTCAGAAGTGGGCAGCCAGGCCTTTCCCCGGAGGTTTCCCTTTCAGTCAGCAGCCTGGCAGCACTGCACCGCCACTCGGCATCTCAGTTCAGTCTAAACACGAATGCCCAGGATGCAGCCAACCCACAGTTGAACACTTCTTCAGCCCTGGCCCTCCCAACCCCAGGAAACATGGGCACCTGGGACAGCTAACTGTCCTACCCAGCTCTAGACCCCAGGCCCCCACACCAGGGGGCTTTACCCAGCGACCAAAGCTCTGGGGGGAGCAGGCCTCCCTTCTGGAGGTGCGGCTTTACACTTCTGGGTTTTGCGGGAAAAACAAAACCATCTCCTCAAGTAACATGTAAAACATGGTTGATAATCTGGATTTTTAATCCTCTATGGTCTCAAAGAACATGGAGCTTTATTCTCAAAACACTTTCCCCCTTTAAAAACCTCATTCGTGAAAAAATAAATAAATAAATAAATAAAAACCTCATTCGTGTTATTTGTAAAGCAAATGTGCTTTCAAGACTCTTTCGGAGGGGCTGCCGATGTCTGAGGAACCGGGGCACGCTGGGGAGCAGTGCTGGGCGCCAACCGGTAGCTGAACCCACCAGCCACTCTGTGGGAGAAAGACCCGGTGATCAGCTCCCACAGATCCCAGCTTAGGAAACGCTGCAGGGCATCCACCAGGGCAAAAAGCAATCCCAAGGCACACCACTGCCACCTGCTTAAAGAGACCACTTCTCAAGGTCAAAGGCACCACCCTGGCTGGAAAAATACCGGAGCTCTGCCCCTGCCTGCCCAAGGCCCAGCGTTCACCAGGCTGGATCTTGGTCCCCTGGGTCACCGACCCCCTGATAGTAAGTCCTGTGGCCCTGCACGTCCTGTCCCCCACCCCCAACTCCACTCTCTACCCACAGCCTCTGCTTGGTGCTTCAGAGCCCTTCCAGGGAGTGAGGGGAAAGAGGAGACAACGGGGAAGAGGGGGACACAGCTGGACACTGAGGGGGTGGGCGAATTAGATCAGAACGGGCATGAACTGTTGAATGTAAAACTGTGAGCTGCTCTACAAACCCTCGCCAGCTTCATGATAAATAAACCATTTAAACAAAACATAGCCTCTCCTGGCAAAACCGGCCTTCCCTACCCATCTCCTGCCCCCATACACTCCACTGAATCCCAGAAGCAGACTTCCCGGCCTCGGTCCCCCCACTCTCCCGACACCTGGTGGGCTCCCAACCACCCTTAAAGGTCTTCCCCTTGCTCATTACCCACCAACTAGCTGCAACCTAATCTGGGAGTCCCGGTCCTTCTCTGCAGACGCCAAGACGGTCTGCTTCCAGCTGCCTTGACTTGAAGACTGCCGGGCAGTCCTCAAAGGCCTTGGGCATTTCTTGTCAGCCACCTCTGATTCCTTCTGTGGCCTGGGGGTGACGTTCCCCCACAGATGACCACAGCCATGGTCTCCTGGACTCTAGGTGCAATCCCCTTGCTCCAAGCACTGACTCTCCCTATGCATAACCATAAACTCTTCAATCCAGCCCTGCTCACTCCTACGCAGACTCCTCCACCCATCACACCCAGCGCCAGCTCCCACAAACTGGCCATCACCCAGGGCTGCTGGTGCACCCTCCAGTCCCCGGACACCTTTTCATCCTGGCTGCTACTGCCGATAGTTAGCGTCCTCACCACTCCACTGCACAGCTAAGGGGATACAATCCATCATAGTGAGTTTCAAGATAAATTGGTAATTTCCTATTATCTTTGGTGCAAGAAGTTAAAATGCCTGTTAACCAAAAGGTCGTTAGTTCCAAACCAGCTGGCCCTCAGGAGAAAGAAGTAGGTAACAATTGGCCAATTGACTTAAGGTTGTTGTCTTGGAAACGCTCTGGGGTGGTCCTACTATGCCGTGGACATGGACGGACACCGTGGCTGCAACAAAGGCTCGGACACGGGACAGCTGTGAGGACGGTGCAGGGCCGGCGGTGTTGTTCTGTTGTGCACAGGGTGGCAGCTAAAACAACGGGGTCGAGGTGTGTCACAGACTCGACGGCATCAAGTCTCCATGTGGGAGACAGAGTTGGCACTGTGGTGGGGTAAGTGCCACGGGAAGGAATGCTCATCTTCCAGGAAATGGGCAGGTACATTTCCAAGTGGCAGCAAGGGACATACAATGAGGTTGCCATGACAAGTTATCTAAAGTAAAGAACTTGGAAGAGGGGACCCCTCTTCGTTAATCTTTTAAATTTGCATTCTTCCTTACATCCTCACAATCCCAAGCCATCAGCAGCTTGGCCCCTGGGATTGTCACCAGAAGGCCTACCTGCTACTCCCCTGACCCCCAAACATCTCTGCAAATGCACCTCTCTCTGTCCTCTTAATATCCACCAGGGGTCCTCCCACTCCTCAAGCACAGACAGGAGCCACACCTCACAGCCTCACCCCACCCCACCCACCTAGTACCTTCTCAGCTCTCCCAATTGGCACTGCAGAACCGGACCTCTGGGGGCAGGACACTTCCTACCTGTCCCAACTGTGACCAGTCTTTCTTGAGAAACAGCGTCCTAACCAGGCTGGGCCAAGACCCTCTCCTGGATATTCATCTGGTACTCCCCACACTCCCCAGATGCCTGAGTGTGCAGCGAATCGCTCCAGACTTGCACACCTCCAGGTAGGGGATCTGCTTCTAGCTGAGCACTTTTCTGCCTCTTGACAATCGCTTCATCCGATGGCGCGTGATGCCTTGGTGGCAGTTTTAATGCTGACTCAATAATGAAGCTTTTTGTGCAAAAAGGCTGGGAAGCAGTAGCAAGGCGCTGTCTATTCCCTGGAATTGGGGAGAGGGGTGTCAGTAGGGCTAGGGGACTGGCTGTTGAGGGGAGGGAGCCCTGCAGCCCCAGCCTCTTTGGACTGCAATGGTCACAGTCTCTGAGAATTTTGCACGAGTAACTCTGAAAAGCGTTTTAAAGCTCTGTGTTTCCCTTGCTTGTTTTAAGTTGGCACCTAAAGTATTGATCACAGGTCCTGAGAGTTGCGATTAGTGTAGCGGTGCAGATGCAGCTTCAATAACTGGTGTCGAAACTCGAGACCTGAAAGTCCTGTGTTCTCTGGATGGAGAACAGCTCGAACCCGTCTTCACCGCTCTGGACGGGGTTCAGGTTGCATAAAGGTGAACGAGCAATGCCACCAACCCACCTCACCCCTGGTCTAGTTCAGAAAGCCAGGGTTCCCGCCGGAGGCCACGGCGGGTGCCTCTCAAAGTTTCTAAGGGCACGTCCGCCCCGCTGCGCTGGGACGCCTTCCCCATGACCCTCCCTCCAGCACCGGGAAGTCAAGACAGATGCAATCAAATAAGCAAACAGACCCACAAACGCGTGCTCCGGCCTCGGCGGGCGCTCCCCCGCGTGCCCGCCTCGAACCCCCGCTCCGTGGTCACCCTCTCGAACCGGCCGGTCCCTTCCCTCGGCTCAGGCGCCGCAAACGAGCGTTTGTGGAGTGAGGTGACTGTGCTGGGCCGAAGGGGCTCCCTGCGGGGCTCTGTTCACCCATCTGACCTCGAGCGGGTCTGCGCTCCACGACCCTCGAGAAATAACCTCGACAGCCTGCGTAAAAACCCGCGCCCGGCCCGGCCGGACGGCTCCGCCCTCTGGCCTGGAGAGGGCTAGCGCCCGGGATGCAAGGCCGTCGGGAAGCGGCTCGTCTGCGGGGCGACCTAGGAGCCCCGGGCAGCCTTCCCCCCACCCTTGTCCCTCTCCCCAAGCCTCACACAAACGACGGGAAAGGACGCCGGAATCTTCGCACCCAACTGAGTTTAGACGTCGCCATTCCGCGCAAAGTTTCTGCATCCGGACGCCGCCTCGTCAGCCATTTTCCACCCCTCTGGGGAAGCGGTCGATGCCTTTTGACTCTCGCGCCAACCCGTAGAACAAGGGCACCGCGCGAGGGGTACTTCTGCGCAAGGGCGGAAGTGCGTCTGCGCTTCCGGGCGGCCGCCGGGCCCCGCCCCCTCGCGGGAACGCTCCATTGGTTGCCGGCTGAAGTTATCGCGAGAGGAGGCTGAGGGGGCGCCGCCGCTGTGTCGCCTCCTGCCCCCGCCCCCGCCCTGCTGGGGCCGCCGCCCGCTCCTGAGCCCGGCCCCAGCCCCGAGCGGCCGCCCAGCAGCCGCCGTCGAGACCGCGCCGCGCGGGCGGCGGGCCCCACGGTAAGATGGCCGCTGCGGCCGAGCGTCGCCCGAGCGCGGGGAGGGCGGGCGGACCGGGGCCCGTGGGCAGGTCGGGGCCCGGAGCCCGGCCGAGCCGTCCCGAGGGGCGTCTCCACAGGGGAGCGTCGCGGGCCCGAGGGGCGGCCGAGGACGTGTCCCCTGGACTCGCTTGAAGCGGCGCCTCACGGCCCCGTGCTCGCGCCCGCGGTGAGGCTGCTCGGCGGGCCGTGTTTGGGTCGTCGTCTTCCGGCGCGGAGCGGACGCCTGGCCTGGGGGCACCTGGGAGCTGTCGGCCGGCCTGCCCTGGGAGGGGCCGGGGGTGAGGGCCAGCGACCTGGCTCGCAGGGCCCCCTGGACGAACGCGGGGCAAGCCTGCTTTTAACAGCCGACTCGGGCAGGGCCCTCCTCCGCAAGGCAGGAAAGCCCGTGGTGGCGGCGGCGGCGGCCCCGAGGTAGGGGCACCTGGGCAGTTTGGGCTGGGGGTCGGTACTGCAGAGCGCCGTGGGCTCTGAGAAGGGCGCTTGCTTCACCGGTCGGGGTGTCGATAGCTGTCATCTCTGGATCCAGGTCCTCTCTCAGGAGTGCTCATCACACAACACTGCCTTGATTTCTCTCCAGCACAGCTCCGTGCCGCCTTTCCTGTGAGCCTCGGGCGACTCTGGGATCTGGCCTCGCGGACTGTGGCCTGTGCCCCTCTGCTTCCCCACGGGCACTTTCTCCCTAGGCGAGCTTGCCCAGCCCGTGCAGTGAAGTGCATGTCTTTGTGGATTTGTCTGTAATTGATGTTTCCAGCGCCGGGGCCTGGGACCTGTAATCATGGCCCTGCTTGACTTCTCCACCGACTTGTCTTAATAGTCTCCCCAAACCTGTTCCACTGCCAGTTCATCATCTTAAGCCCTGGCCCCATATGCCAAAGGTCTCAATCCTGCACCTCCGGTCTTCCAAGGTCCTCCCCATGTCCCATTGTGGGCTCAGTGCCCAAATCATTGGATCTGGCCTGCCTTCCTCCAGCACACACTCATTCAGTTCTCTTACCGGTGACACAGCTCCTCGTGTATCCCTGGGCGTAGAGTTACGCCCACAGTGTGTGCACACCTGTAATTCACAAAGCTAGAGGATGACAGGCCGTTGCACACCCACGACCCATCCTGGGAGCCAGCGCCCCTTCCCCACAGGTAACACCTAGGTTTGCTAGTTCCTGCCCTTCATTAACCCTGTAGGGTGGCCCCGAGTCAGAGTGGACTCAGTGGTGGCGGTGAGTGAGACCCTGCCGTGAAAACATGGTTCTGTTCATCTGCATGTGTTCTTCAAGCGCGTTGTGTCTGGTGTCAGCAAAGCTGTGACACCGCACTTGGGCCTGTGCGACTTGCACCTGGGCAGCTTCTGGGAGTCATCTTTGTGACTGTGTGAGCTCGCCGTACAACTTCAAGGTCAAGTTCTGTTGTGTGAGCAACTGCAGTTCCTTCTTGGCCACCCAGAAAACCCGATAGCTCTGAAAACCAAGCCCTTTTGTTTGTAACCCTCTGGGGATAAAACTTTGCCTGATTATGACTGTTTAAGAGGCTTTGCCCACTTAGCACGGCTGCTTTGTGGGAGGATGTCTGATTAGAGATGCTGCCTCAGAAGCCCTAACCCCCCTCTCGCAGTGAGGATGCTCCTAATGTAGGGTGCATTGTGCCACATATATGCTCTGCACTCTGAAGGATTCTGAGTTCTAGAACACATCACCCCAATATGCCTGGTCTTGGCACAAGGGACTCCATTTTGAATCCGGCACCTTCTTGGTTCTCAGAACTCACCTCTCATGGGCCTCCCTCACATCGGCCTCCCCTCCCCTCGCTGAAAATCACCAGTTCTGAGAACCAGATATCCTCGAGAAAGAATGTTCTTTGAAGATATGTTTACTTTACCTGCCCCAGTACCTATAGATAAGATTAACGACCACTTCCCTGCATCCCTTGAAGATGTGTTTATTCCACCCATCCCGGACCTATAGATAAAATTAATGAGCGCTTCCCTTTGAAGCCCCTGTGTGCAGCTGTGCCTGCCACCAGGGGATATAAAAACGCAGCCAGAAATTCCCCTCGCGCGGTTTCATTAGCTCAATACGTGAGTTACTGAACCCGTCCGCAAGCTTCTCAATAAAGCCTGCTTCTAAAACTTTACCAGTTGGATCTTTAATTCCGCTTCGCGCCCCCAAAAACCCTTACACAATGGACCTTGAGTCCCTTCCACCCTGTGGCTGTTTAGGGCAGCAGGCTTGTATGTCCCTTGGTGCACATTTGTGAGTTTTTCTAGAGTGTCCACATCTAGCCGGGGTGGAGTTGCTAGGTTGGGAAGAGAACCCCTCCCCGCCACCTTATCTATTAGCTCGTCGGACTGTGGTGGTTCACGTGGTGGCTATGACGTCAGAAGGGTGCCACCGGTGTTTTACATTCCAGTCGGGTCACTCGTGGGCAGGTTTTAGGAGAGCTTCCAGGCTAAAACAACACTAGGAAGAAAGAAAGGCCTGGCGATCCGTCTCTGCACATTAGCCCGTGAAAACCCTGTGGATCATCGCAGGGCGTGGTCCAGTGTGGTGCTGGAGGATGAACCCCTCAGAATGCGCAGTGGCTGCAGCAGTGTTCTCCAGCACAGGAGCCTGCACGAGCCCGCAGTGTGTTCCGTGAGCCAGTCAACAGCCGCTGGTAAGGACTGGGAGCGCACGCAGGCGGCCTTCGAGGAGCAGGCCAGCTGGTTCCCGGTTGTTAGGCCGATGCATGGTGACCCCTGTGCAACAGAGCCAAACCCTGCCTGGCCCAGTGCCACCTCACAGTGGTGATTAGCTTTGAACCCGTTGTTGTAGCCACTGTGTCAGTCCATCTTCTTGATGCCCTCCCACTACACCGAGCCTGATGTCCTCCTCTTCCAGGGACTGGTCTCTCACCACCCCTGTATTCTAACAGCAGTGTGAAAGCGTTCAAGGCTTTGCCTACACTCAGGCTTCTTAATCTGTTCAGACCAGAAGTCCTGGTGGCATGGGGGTTTCCCCTGTGTGCTGCATGTCAGCAGTTAAGAACCACCAGCCACTCCACCAGAGAAAGGCAGAGCTTTCTACCCTGGCCAGTAGGGTCGCTGTGAGTCGGCTTTGACTCTGTGGCAGTGAATTTGGCGGGTTTTGTTTTGTTTTGTTGAGTGGGTGTATGACCAGAGCCTGTCATCCTTGAGCTTGTGGCTCCCAGGGGCTGCCTTTAATGGATATTGGGGTCTCGGTATCTTTCTCCAATCTCTTAGTCTCTTCGTTCTAGGATCTCTCAGCACCTTTCTTCTACCTTCTAATCGCGTAACCATCTTCTTGGTCTCCAGACGCGTTTGTACCTCAGGCCTGGCTTCCAGGGTGACGGTCTCCTCCCCTCCCTGTGCTTCCCCCACAACGGCTCGCTCTCCATTTCTGAAGCGCTATGACTGGTCGGACTTGGGCACCAGGACTTTCTTTTCCTTGTAGAGTAACCAGAATGAGCTACTCGGAGAAGCCCGACGAGATCACGAAAGATGAGTGGGTGGAGAAGCTCAATAACTTACATGTTCAGCGAGCAGACATGAACCGGCTCATCATGAACTACCTCGTCACAGGTAACGGCGTGCATGCACCAGGGGCAGGGGTGCTCGGACACGCTCCCCCTCTGTACGTGTTGCCCTGTTGCTGAGGACCGGGGGGAGTGATGCGGTGTGCAGACAGCCACATAAGCACAGCGGACATGTCATAAGCACGGGTGGGTGTGCGTGTCGCCTAATGTTGCTCGGAGTCTGACTGCATGTGCGCCCCTGCTCTCGAGTCAAAACTGACTCGATGGCCATGGATTGGTGTGAGGTTTTTAGGCAATGACTTTTAAGACCCCCAAACCCAGACTTGCTGCACTGGACCACAGTCAGATGAGGCCAAGGATGGGCCCCGGCTGCAGGCTGGCTAGCTCAGTGTTGTCTGCTGAGTGGGCGGTGGCGGTGGCGGTGGCGGTGGCAGCGGTGCTTGCTGCTCCTGCTCTAGGCAAGCAAAACAGCCGGCTGGCAGGGTGACCCTCCCGCTGTGCTCCACTGTGCCTGCCATTGCCAGTCTTCTAGCTGCCCAGGGCCCTCGAGGACAACCCACAGTGTGCTCCCATGAGGTTTTGATAATGCTCTTGAGTCACCATCTGGGTGCACACGGCCCTATTCCCACATAACACAAGAGTCTCGGCGGTTTAGTGGTTACACACTGGCCTGCTAACCACAAGGACTGGAGTCAGCTGCTCCAGACGGGGAGGAGGAGGCTGCCCGCCCCATAAAGATGTGTTCTGGGGCACTGTGAGGCGCTGTGCCCCCTTTCCTACAGAGTGGGTGAGCTGGGGCTGACTTGCCTGCGGGGTTGGGTTTGGGAGCTGGTGTGGTATAGTGGGCATTAAGCAGCAGGTACCTCTGTACCCTTCATCTTGTGAGAGCACTTCCAGGGAACCAGGTATCCGGGGATTTCAGACCCAAGGGGAAACGTGGGCCTTATTTCTGCTGGGTTTTATGGTCACACACTTAGGAAAATTAAGGATGTTCTGAAGCAGGAGTCAGGCCCCCCTGGCCAGAAGCATGAAAAATGGTTGCAGGTCCTCAGGCTCAGGCAGCCCTCACTACGATCTGGGAGTTTACTCATAAAGCAAGCTCTCTCCACTTAATCCCAAGGAGAGACGGGTGAGAAGGTTTGGGAGGCGATGGAGAATGCAAGGCCTGGGCAGCACAGACTCTGATTTGATGTTGGTAAGAACTATGGCCTCACTGGAGACTCACCTGGCACCAGCCCAGCGGCTGACCAGCGTCTGTGCGGTCAGTCTCGGCCTCACCACCGCAAGATCTTCACCGCAGAGCCATGCCTCCAGCAGAGGGGGTTGTCCCTGGGTGGAGAGGGGTGTGGTGGGTGGGGAGTGGTGCTATCTCAAGTCCTCAGTGTCCTGGTGAGGCTGTGGGGTGGCGCCCGGGGCTCCTGGAAGAGAAAGGCTGTGTGCTGGACCTGAGAGCTGTCTGGAGGATGGGGGCTGTGTGAGCCTCCTGCCTGAACTCCTGATGGGAGGGGCCTTTCCTTGTCAGAGGGCTTTAAGGAAGCTGCGGAAAAGTTCCGGCTGGAGTCTGGGATTGAGCCTAGTGTGGACCTGGAAACGCTGGACGAGCGAATCAAGATCCGGGAGATGATCCTGAAAGGGCAGATCCAAGAGGCCATCGCGCTCATCAACAGCCTGCACCCAGAGCTGCTGGACACCAACCGCTACCTGTACTTCCATCTGCAGGTGAGCGGTGCAGGTGCGACCGCGTGCTGCTCTCCCAAGGGGTTGGTGCTGGGCCTGTCTCACTGCGGCCACCCAGCTGTGCCACCTCAGCTGCTTTCTTTGTCCCTGAGTAGCAGCAACACCTGATCGAGCTGATCAGGCAGCGGGAGACGGAGGCGGCGCTGGAGTTTGCCCAGACACAGCTGGCGGAGCAGGGCGAGGAGAGCCGGGAGTGCCTGACGGAGATGGAGCGCACTCTGGCCCTGCTGGCCTTCGACAGCCCCGAGGAGTCGCCCTTTGGAGACCTCCTCAACATGATGCAGCGGCAGAAGGTTGGGAGCTGGTGGGCGGGGAGGGAGCCTCAGAGGCCCGTCTAAGATGTGAGTGTCAGCTGGGCTCCAGGCTAAGGCCCTGGAATGCGCAGCTCACCTCCCTCTGCTGAGCTCCTGAGAGCAGGTCTCAGTCATGCCCTCATGCCCGTTCCCAGTGCTTCTGTGTCCCAGCCAAACATGGCAGCTCATTACGTCTCCAAACACACCCCTCCCTCCCCACCTGTCACGACAGACAGGACCTGCTCTGGCCTGTCTCCCACCTCGTGGGCAGCACAAGCCTGTCCGTCTGTCTGCGTAGGTTCCCCTCAGGGCCAGGGCTGTGTGCCTGATGTTTCCCACCTTGGCCAGGGAGGGATGTGGCAGGTCCTGCTCTCTCCAGCGCCCTGCCGTCATCAGCACACTTACTTCCCAGGTATGGAGCGAGGTGAACCAAGCTGTCCTCGACTATGAGAATCGAGAGTCCACCCCCAAGCTGGCCAAGCTACTGAAACTCCTGCTTTGGGCTCAGAATGAGCTGGACCAGAAGAAAGTGAAATACCCCAAAATGACAGACCTCAGCAAGGGGGTGATTGAGGAGCCCAAGTAGGGCCGCCAGCTGGCGCCCCAGTGCGCCATATGCCCGGGACTGACGGCAGCAGAGGACAGACGGATGCGGCCTTGGTTTTGGTTTTGAGGCAGCTTCTCTCCCGAGCCTCACACGGCCTGCAGGTGCTGGGAGTGCTGGGACAGCACCACCTGTCGCTGTCTCGGAGCCTCCGCTGCAGGGTTCATCACAGACGCCGAGGGCTGAGGGCTGGGTACTGGGGGACACGGCCTCCTCAGGCCCCCAGCTGGGAGGGTGAGGGAGCACGGGTCTGTTTCTCTCAGGGCTAAGAGGCAGACACGGGCTTCCTCATACCCCTTTGGGCTGGCAGGCTTTTGATGAGACATGGCGCCCTCCCTCGGTTGTTCATTTTTCAAGGACAGAATATATAAATTTGTAAATCCTCATTCAAGGACTTGTGTTGCGTGCAGGTCTGGAGTTTGCTTTCCTTCCCTGGGGCCTTGGGCCGCGTGCTCTAGGCTGTGTGCGTGTGTGCGTGCGTGCGTGCGTGCGTAGGGGGGACAGGCTGCGTGGTCCTGTTTTCAGTGTGCGTGGGTGCTGTTGAGAGCTGCACTTCACTGGCCTGCGGCCCTCTTTTCTAGACAGTGATGCTGGAAATAAAGGCTTCTCTGATTTCAACAGTGACTAAACGGCCTCAGGACGTCTTACTCACTGGAAACCAGCCTGGGTGTCCTGGGATGGCGTGTCGTCCCCAAGAAGAGGCCCCACGCTGTGGGCGACAGGAGCAATGGGCGCTGGAAATGCCCCTGCGTGAGGCTGTCATGAGAGCCATGGGTGACGCAGTTAGAGCTCAAAGCATCCGTCCAGCGTAGCGTTTGGTGCTCGTTTGTCACCTGCACCGTTGCCTGGGTTTGGTGGGAAGTGTGTGCTGGGTCTGGGGCTTCCTGAAGGACGGACCGGAAGCCATGCCGGGGGCCGAGGATCCTCCAGCTGCCTTGGGGACACACTGAGCACGCGCGTGCACACGGGCACCAAGGCATGGGGAGGATGTCAGTCCTGTTGACGATGGGGATGTCCGTGCCTGTGGCTTAGGAAGCAAGAGGTGCCTGAGTCACTCAGGTTAGATGGGTGTGGCCGTACCCACAGACCGATGGACGGAGGAGGCAAGTTGACAGGTGTGCACAGGCCCCTGTGCTGCAGGTGGTGGTGCATCCGCCTGGAGTCCGGCTCTGCTGTTGCTGCCCACGGGCAGGGCTCACTTGACACGTCATCTCAGCATACCCAGATGATGCACTCAAGGGTCTCCGTGGAAGGTTCTTGCACCCTGCCCTCAGCCCTGGATGCGAAGTGCCCTCCTCCCTCCTCCCCACCCCACCCCCAGCTGTAGCCAGTCCTCAGTGGGCGCCTGCCCGGGACTGAGGACAGTAAGAAGCCTCGAGAGGGAAGCTGCACGCTTGGGGCGTGCGTGGGTCACTAGAGCAGAGGCTGGCCCACTTGTTTGGAGAGAGGTGCGGTGAAACAGTCCAGAGCAACACCAGCTCACTCAGCGGATCCCTGCTCACCTGCGAGGTGCGCATGAGAGTTCACGTGGTGAACATGTAGCCATCGGGACCCAGACGCTGCCCCAATGCAGCGACCCTGCAGACAGACAGCAGGGCCCCTCTGGGACAGACAGCTCATCCTCCTGAGGAGTGGTTGGGTTCAAGCGGCTGACCTTGTGGTCAGCAGCCCTCTGCACCACCAGGGCTCCTGAGTCCACATGGCTCAGTCAAAATCTGAAGGGAGAGGGCCTGTGTGGCTGCAGAAGGCCAGTGCTGGTGCGTGAGCTGCCCCTCGTGGCAGAGGCTACCCGAGGAATAAGACCAATGTGGTGTTGCCCTGAGCAGTCCCCATCCACAAGGAGCAAAAGCAGCGGGCCACCATCAACATGAGCTGATGGCACAGGCCCAGGGCAGTACTTCCCCTTGGGAGGGGTGGGGGTCACCCTGGGATCATGGCTCCAGACTTTTCCGCACCTTGCATGTGTTTTGTTTCCTTTTTCAGCAAACAAACAAACAGCCACTGAGCGGGGAACTGGTGAGCACTGTTGCCCTCCCTGCTCAGGCCAGGCTCGGACACTGAGCGCGTTTCGTAGAGGTAGTTTCTTGGCGTGCCTCCCCGTGGAAAGTGCCATGAAGTCAACGCAGTGTTAGGAGTGCTGGTCCTCTGAGCTGCTCTCCGGAACCCACTGGAGGGACCCTCCCAGTCGAATCTTTCTGAGACACCTGGAATCAGGGTGTCTGCGTTTGTGGAATGGCACATACTCCCTGGAACCAGTGTTGGTGATCCAAGTCGGCACATGGCTGCAGACAGGTGGTCCTGTGGACGCTGCTGTAGAAATACAGGTTGGCGAGCTTGGACCTCTTCCAGCCGACCCCTCACGCTGAGATCCACAGACCTGGACACTAGTGGGCAATGCTCAGCAAGGGATGTTGATTTGTACTCTCCGCTGCTTCTGCCTTCTGCACACTCTTCACCTCAAAGCATGATGGGAACAGGGCTTTCAGGAAGATCCTGACGCATTTTATATGAGGCCAAAGGACTCTTGCTCATGAAAACCAGCCAGGAGCCCTCTGGGTTGTCTGACCAAACCTCGCGTGGACAAAGACCATCCAGAGCCGATGCTGGGTCGGCACGTGGCCCAGGTGGCAGGTCAGAGGCAGGCACAGTGCCGTCACACAGGACCCCTGCAGCCCTCAATGGCCCCTGCCTTGTTGGCAAGTTCTAAGCCACTGGGACTGTCCTTTGGATATGGCTGTGCTTTTCTTCAGGAAAGAAGGCATTGTTCCCTCAGCTTTTCCGTAGACCATTCTGTGTGAGCCCGTCATCTGCTGTCTTGCTTTTTAACAGATGGAGCCTGGAACGCTGCCTCCTCCTCAGCCCACCCCTCCTGCCCTCCCAATCTGAAAGCTGCAGACAGGAGGCTGCGTGGCCGCCTGCTCAGACTCTGATAGTGAAGCTCTCCCATTTGCCTGGGAAGAGTCATCAGGGTCAGCACGAGCTTGGTTTGGGTGGTTTGCCCGAGTGATGCCCAGTCAGGGCAAAGGACACGTGGTGGGCTGCCCAGCCACAGTGCTGTGTGGCGTGGTCTGGTCCTGCACTGTGCGGCCTGCCAGGGTGTCCCCTCTGTGCCTGGCTACTAGTTCCTATTTATAGGCTGGAGCTATTTGTCTGCCCCCCCCCCCCATTGGTTTAAGTTTCGATACCACATTTTTCTTATGGAAATTTTCAAACATATAAATAAGAACCCAACGCCACCAGCCCACACCCTGCACTTGGCTTCCCAAGCCCGAAGGACAGATGGGCCACTTTATCCCGCCCCTCACTGCCCCTGCCCTGCTCCCCACCCAGCAGAGGCACGGCCTGCCTCTCCCCTGCCTGCTGTGTGGCCTGTCTGGACGCAGCCTTCATCTGTACTGCCCGCTCCTACGTGCATCTTCCCCGAAGGAAGTGGCTGGAGGGCCTGGCCGCCGTGCAACAGCCTTGGCATGGCCTGAGCCTGTTGCCTTTTCAGGACAGATGCCAGCTGAGAAGGGGCGTGGGAGGGGCAGGATGTCTTCCCCTTGAGTGCATGCTTGTGTTTTGTAGCAGGAAGCGGGTACTGATGTAACTGGGGTTTTGCACGACTGGGCTCTCAGTCCAGGTGGGGCCTGCAGACGTTCTGACACCTGGTCTCCCTGAAATAAAGTGACAAGTGGATGTTGTCCCCACTGCCCTTTGTGAACTCTGTGTGGCACCGAGCCATCAGCTGTGGGGCTCAGATGCATCTGCACCCCCTAGAGCAGCAGTTCTCAACCTGTGGGTTGCGACTCCTTTGGGGGTCAAATGGCCCTTTCACAGGGGTCTCCTGATTCTTAACAGTAGCAAAATTACAGTTATGAAATAGCAACAAAAATAATGTTATAATTGGGGGTCACCATAACATGAGGAACTGTATTAAAGGGTTGTGGCATTAGGAAGGTTGAGAGCCACTGCCCTAGAGGAACGGGGAGGGGGTGGGCTGTACCACAGGCATGCAGTGCCCTGCCCCCAAGCTGCTGCTCAGGAAACAGCTCCCCACCTGGCTGCCTGGGCTCATATCCTGAGACCCAGGCAATGCCCTGCAAACAGGTCTCCTTGCAGCAGGGCAGGCCAGTCTTCCAGGGTTCCTGGGGAGGCAGAATGGAGCGGGCACTGTTCCCTGC